CATTTCCCCGCTACTTTCTGCACAAAAAAATCAAATTTTCTTCTGTCTGGAAAGGCAGATTAGAGCATGTGATAGAAGCCTGGGCTCCCAAAATGAATCCACTTTCTTAGAGAGTTTTTATTTGGCTCTTGGGATCAGGGGTTCCATAGAATATATGGCTTGCCACTTAAAGTACACACAGTGTCTTGGTTCTGCCTTGAAAATACTGTCCCTGTCAGTGGTATATGTTTCTATGCTGGGTCCTGTAGTAAAATCTGTGGTCTGACTCCCATCATCTCCAAGACCATGGCCCCCTGCTTACCCTCTGCCTAGCAGCCTCACCCAGCACCAGGCCTTGGGGTGATAGGGACACTGGTGTGTGGCTCTCGCTTCCTGCCTTTTCTCTCTCATTTTGAATTTTCCTGAACATCTCACCTGGGTACCACAGAAAAGCCACGTACATTTGTGTAGTCTGTGCACAGTTGTGAGGTTTTTTGTTGTTGTTATTGTTGTTTTTGCAATTACAAGTCTACAATGTGCATTCTTGTGTGTGTAGGTCTTTGTGAGATCAAGCGTTTATGATAAAATTATTTCTAAATAACAGAGGCAAGTTCCCAGGGCCACTATAGGCTCAAAACTATGAGGGCTGTGCCCCTGCAGTTGTTAACTGGGCTGGTTTAAGATCTCAGGCAATTTCACTGATCAATACAGGCAGTCCCACTTACAACGATTCTACTTACAATTTTTTGACTTTAAGACGGTGCAAAAGCAATATGCATCCAGCAGAAATCATACTTTTAAGTATCCATCTAACTACTATGTTTTTCAATTTCAGTATTCAGTAAATAAAATCATCTGACACAATGCCATCTAACACGACATTTTATTATACAATAGGCTTTGTGTTAGAGGATTTTGCCCAATTTTAGGTTAACGTCAGCATTCTGAGCACATTTAAGGCAGGTTAGGTTAAGCTATGATGTTTGGTAGATTAGGTGGTGTGTTAGTCTGTCCTCATGCTGCTAATAAAGATATACTCGAGACTTGTTAATTGATAAAGAAAAGAGGTTTAGGCCAGGTGGTGTGGTGGCTCATGCCTGTAATCCCAGCAGTTTGGGAGGCCAAGGTGGGTGGATCATGAGATCGGGAGATCGAGACCATCCTGGCCATCATGGTGAAACTCCATCTCTGCTAAGCTACAAAAAATTAGCCCAGCGTGGTGACAGGCACCTGTAGTCTTAGCTACTCCTGGAGGCTGAGGCAGGGGAATCTCTTGAACCCAGCAGGTGGAGGTTGCAGTGAACAGAGATTACGCCACTGCACTCCATCCTGGTGACAGAGTGAGACTCTGTCTTAAAAAAAGAAAAAGGAAAATAAAAGAGGTTTAATTGACTCACAGTTCAGCATGGCTGGGGAGGCGTCAGGAAACTTACAATCATGGCAGAAGGGGAAGCAAACACATCCTTCTTCATACGGCAGCAGGAAAAGACGTGCTGAGCAAAAGGGGAAAATGCTCCTTATAAAACCATCAGGTCTCATGAGAAGTCTGTCATTATCACAAGAACAGCATGGTTCAGTTACCTCCCACCAGGTCCCTCCCATGACATATGGGGACTATGTGAACTACAATTCAAGATATTTGAGTGAGGACACAGTCAAAGGGATTACATGCATTTTCAACTTATATTATTCTCTGTTTATGACGGGTCCGTCAGGATGTAACGCCATCGCCCTAAGTCGAGGAGGCACTGTGTTTCAAATCAGTTAGTGGGAACTTCCTAGGCTCTGTGACCCAAGGTAACATAGACTTCATCCCCAAAGCCAACAGAGAGTATTTATTGAGTCAAGGCACTGTGCTCCATATTAAAAATTAAAAGAAAAAGGAGACATAATCTGATCTTAAAAGGATTTATAATCTAATGAGGGAGACGGTAAATATAAATGAATCTGATTTCTGACCATTGAGGAAAGATATCATTTTGGATGACTGGGTTTTCCAGATGTTGAAGGTTTCTACCCCTAATACACAAACTTTATTCCATTTTAACCACTTTTTTTTTTTTTTTTGAGGCGGAGTTTCACTCTTGTTACCCACGCTGTAGTGCAATGGCACGATCTCGGCTCACCGCAACCTCCGCCTCCTGGGTTCAAGCAATTCTCCTGCCTCAGCCTCCTGAGTAGCTGGGATTACAGGCGCGCGCCACCATGCCCAGCTAATTTTTGTATTTTTAGTAGAGGCGGGGTTTCACCATGTTGACCAGGATGGTCTCGATCTCTTGACCTCATGATCCACCCGCCTCGGCCTCCCAAAGTGCTGGGATTATAGGCATGAGCCACCATGCCCGGCCTCATTTTTACCACTTTTGATTGGAAATACTTTCTAAATATACAGGTGCTTTCCTTTAAAATAAAATATTTGGTCAATGACTTCTTCTAGTGATGCGGGATGGTTGTTCTGAGCACATTTCCACAATTACCTTGTGATACAATGATGCCTTCAAGGCCTGTTGGAATAACATTATGCTAAATGACTCCAGACTCCTACGTTGTTGTTTTTTTTTTAATCATTGTTCTCTCTTCTCTTGCTCTTGACTTTTGCCCTTTTCACTGTACTTACTTTCTTATTAGTCCGTTCTCCTTCTAACACACTCCTGCTCATCTGCTGTGGGTTTGAAAATCAGGAAGTAGGCCTATCCTTTAGGCTATTGGTTCAGCTGCTGCAACAGAGACCAGACAATAGTGACTTCATTGCTCTCTGTGGAAAAATGCAAGGGGGTCAGCTGGGTGCTTCTCCAGGTCATCTTGTGACTCAGGTTCTTCCTGCCTTGATGCTTGGCCATCTCCAGGGAGGTGTCCTGGTCAGCATCATCAAGGCTGCCCTCCCCTCCACCTCCTATCTACATCCCAGCTTTCACAAAGTGGAAAGAGTAGAGAACAGCCAGCTTCCTTTTCAGGATGTGGCCCAAAAATGAAACCTATTACTTCCACTCACATCTCACTGGCTAGGACTTCGTTCCTAGTTCCACCTGGCTGCAAGGGGTTCTGGGATATGTGGTCTGTCGTAGGGAAGTCATATATCCAGGTTTTAACCTTGGGAGCGCTACTGTAAAAAGGAAGAGGGAAAGAAAAGGTGTAGGGGGTTCTTAGCCGTCTCTGCCACTCTGGATCTATTGAAATTTTGTGTGGAGTAAATGAAGGTGAGCTCCAACTGAAGACACAAGGTGATCTGCAGAAAAAGCCGCTGACTTTGACAGTTCCACCTGTGAGGGACACTCAGAGTCCTTTTGTTTCTTTTATATTGTTCTGGATTATGTTCCTAGACAAGACATTGGAGGTTAACAACGCAGTCATGAAGACAATAACAGGCATAATATTTCAGATTTGACAACTCAGGCCAAAGGCACAAATGAGAGTGTGATCGGTGTTTTCAGTGTCACAGGCCCAAAGGGCCTTTCTTTTGAAAGCCTCAGTTATTCATCCCCATACACCTTTATTGAGAACCTTCTACAAGCCTGACACGCATCTAGGTGGTTGGTTGGGACATTGGGGTCACCTCTTTCACCACCACAGCCCACCTGGCATCTCCACGAGTTTGGGTTCTCCTCCCTTTTCTTCCCATCCCCCGTCTACTCTCCTCCCCTCCCTTCCCTCTCTTTTCTGATGTAGATCTCTGTATATTGGCCAGGCTGGTCTCAACCTCCTGGACCCAAGAAATCCTCCTGCCTCAGCCTCCTGAGGAGCTGGGATTATAGGTGTGAACCACCGCACCTGGCTTCTGTCTCATCTCTCTCTCTCTGTCTCTTTTCTTTTTTTTTTCTGAGATGGAGTCTTGCTCTGTCACCCAGGCTGGAGTGCAATGGTGCCATCTCAGCTCGCTGCAACCTCCGCCTCCTGGGTTCCAGCGATTCTTCTGCCTCAGCCTCCCAAGTAACTGGGATTACAGGTGCCTGCCACCACGCCGCCTAATTTTTGTATTTTTAGTAGAGACAGGGTTTTATCATGTTGGCCAGGCTGGTCTCAAACTCCTGACCTCAAGTCATCTGCCCGCCTCGGCCTCCCAAGATGCTGGGATTACAGGCGTGAGCCACGGTGCCTGACCTCTCTTTATGGCATGTCCTTGATGCTTATCAGGTTTTTCCTCTAGGAGCTGGAGTGGTTTGGGTACGGGCTTAACAACAGCTTCTGTGATGATGAAGCAGAGAAGGAAAAGACAAACTGCTTTTGTTGAGAATTTATGCTGTCCCACCAGACTATGAATAGCATAACTACATCAACAACAATGAATATTTCAGAGCATTTATTTTGTATACAGTATTTCATTTAATCCTCATAATCACCCTTTAAGTTTATGACTGTTGTTTCCCCCATTTTCCATATGCAAAAGAAAAAAAAAAAGAAATGAAGCACAGAGAGGTTAAGTTCCACATTTAGGTGGCCCAGCTAGGACTGAACACAGGCAGCTAGCGTTCCCAGCACTACTCATATTGATCTGGTTTGTCTTTGTACCGGCCAGCCTTTATCCTGGAAGAGGAGAATAAGTGTCACGGCAGAGGGGTCTGAGACCCCAGCTGGCCCAGCCCTCTCAGAATTACAGATGAGAGGGAAAAACAAAGAGAGGTCAAGTAAGCTACCCAAGGTTGCACAGCGTGATAGCCACTGAGCTGGGGCTAGAACCTAGACCCTGATGCCTTGCTGCCACTGCAGAAGAGATGGTCAAAGCCTTCCTGTCCTATGAATGAAAAAAATAAAAGAATGAGTGGGTGAGTGAGTGCATAATGAATAGACTTCGGCAGAATCTGTCTATGTGGCTCACCCTTGGGTCTTCATGGGGGAGTTGGGTCATGAGAACCAGGGGGTCAAGGAAACAGGGAGATGACCAGGGTGTGCCAGCTTGGCGGGGTTGTGTGGGAGGGGGGTGCTGTGCTGCTGGTTATGGGGAAATCAACCCATGAAAGCATAACCAGCCTTTGACCCCCTGCTCTGGCACCTCATGACCTTGTGTTCACATGGCTTCCTCTATGGCCTTCTTATCATATTGCTAACAGCCCTAACTGGTGAAAGGGAGTCACTTTCAGAGAGGGTTGGGCGGCGGCTCCTCCCCAGTTAGCTACTGTACTGCAAGTGCCCGATAATGACTATGACATAAATGTGCCTAGGCCCCTGCCTGGGAGGGAGAGGCTGTTTACTACTGCCCCTTGTTTTGCACACTGATCTTTGGGGGTTGCAAACACTGGCACCTGTCCTCAGGGTCAACACCAGGGTCAGTAGCAGAGTGGCCAGGGCTTTGATGAAACTCTGAGACCTGAAGGAGTGTGGCCCACTGCAAACTGGAAATGGCCCAGCTCACTCCCCTGGGCCTCCCAGGTAGGGCTGTGGCCAATTGTAGATTGCTCTTTTGCTGGGGAAGAAGGGGCCTGGATGGCAGCTGGGTACCAGCCACTGGGCTGGTGCCAGGACCTGGTCTTTGGGTGGGGCAAAGCTCTACCTTTGTGGGAGTGGGGTGGCTTTTCTTGCTTCTGGCTGATGGGACTAAGAAGACTGGGAAAGGGGACGTGCCTGAGAGAGGGCAGGGGAGGTGGCAAAGGAGCTGCCAAGGCCCAATGCATCAGGGGAGCTGGAGCAAGCTGGAGCCAGGGACCGGCAGCCTTGTGCGTTTGAGATAGTAATTTGCAGATGGTTCCTGGTTAGCTGCAGGGTCTCTTAGGCGGAGCCCGGGTCTTCGCGTAGCATCCTCCAGCCTGGGTTCCCCGGCGGGTCAGAGCAGCTTTGGGGCGGGGCCAAGGTTGGCCCCTGCTCGGAAGGTGCCGGGATGCCTCTCCCGCGGTGATGCATAGGGGAATTTGCTGACAGTCCCTTGCCACGCGGGGCTGGCTTAGCCCGGCCGGCGAGGAGGAGGACCCGCTGGCAGTCTCCTCCCAGGTGGGGAGCGTGGAGCCTGTCACCACAGCCTGGCGGCCTGAGCGCCGAGCCTGGGGCTGGGGCCGAGTGCTGAGGACGCAGATGTGGTGAGCACTCGACGCGGGTGCAGTGGCCGGGCTGGTCGGGCTGGGAGAAGGGGCGCAGCATGCAGGTCCCGCACGGGGAGGGGGCGGGGAAGGATTGCTTGTTTCTCTGCTTTCTGAGAGCTTGCATTAGGAGGGATGGGGGTAGGGGAGACTGCGCCACAGTCCCTTGCCACGCTGGCTGTCTCTAGCTGGTACCCAGGAAAGGGTGGCCTGAGCAGCCCACCCGGGAGGGCGTGGCTTTAGTAGACAGGTCTTCACTGGGTGGGGGGGTGGAGGTGGATAGGAGGCTTGCCCGGGGGTCCCCAGCCTCCTGCCTGACAGCCAGGTGGGAGTTACCGCTCTGGGCCACCCTCACTCCCACCCAGGGATTCCCCGGGGCTCTGCCGCCCACTCTCTAGGCTGGGACGAGAGGGGGCAGCCTGCTCTGCCGTTATGGGTTACGACAACGTCACTGCTGCGCTGCTGCTGGGCGGGCTGGGCTCCTGGGCCCCCAGAGGAACGATGCCACCTTTTCCCCATGTGCTTCCAAAGAAAGGCTCTTGCCTCCCTACTCGCCCTGGCCTTGAGAGAGAAACATTGTGTTTGGATGAAGCTCCTGGGGAAACTGAGGCCCAGGGGTGCTGGGGCTTGACCAAGGTCACTGAGCAGGCCCTACAGAGCTGGCCTCCAGGCACTGCCTTCATTGAATGCTCTCTGGAGGGGCAGGGGCCCTTCTTCCTCTGTAGACCCCTGGTCCTTCCCCAACCCCAGCACCCCATTTCCTCATCCCTGAGAACAGAGGGAGTTGCAACTTCTGCATGGGGCTCCAGGGTGTCATAAGTGTGAGCAGGAATTAGATTGTCTGAGGACAGGAGAAAATTGCTCATGAAAACACTCACCTGAGCAGAGGGGGTGTGAGCCTGTGCTGCTCTTGTGGGTTCAAGGAAAGAATGAGAGTTGGCTTTGAGGGGAGGAAGGCCCATGCTGAGGGGGACGAGGAGATGAACTTTCTCCTTCAACTCCCGCAGCGCTCCGGGAAGACGTGCTTTCCTGAGAAGGTCCATCACTTAGCACCGCTCTGTTATCATCTCATCCTCATTCTCTCTCCGGCCCCTGTCCCTGGGAGAAATGGGCTATGTTCTATCTAGTGCCCTTAGAAGTGAACTTTGCCCTTAGAAGTAATTCACCTTGTTCTTCTCCCTGGGACAGATGCCCTTCCCTGGAGGGAAACTGAGGCAAGGAGAGAGTGATAATAGATTAGAGCCGGAGCCAGATGAGGAAACTGAGGCATGGAGGGTGGAGTGAGTTCTCCAGGTCTCTTACCTCCATGCAGGTCTCCTGACTCCCCAGCCACCAAAGGGCGGACTGGAGGGGCCTCTTCCCATCTTCTCACACCCGCAGTCCCAGCGCTGAGAAGCTGAGCCTGCAAGGGCCTCCTGACAGGTGTGGAGGAGGTTGGTGACAGGGGACAGCAACAGCATTTTCTCCACCTTTAAGATATGTTTTCTAGTTACTTGGGAAGGAAGCAGCTTGAAGAGGGGAAATGAAGTCTTTCGGTTACATTCCCACCACGCCCCCATGGGGGATACACAATTTCTATGGGCCTATTGGAGCCAAAAGCAGACATCCCTCTGCCCTAGTGCCAGCAGCTGTGAGCAGAGCCAGGGAGTGGGGATCCACAGGTAAAGGGACTTCAGTATCTCCCTGACAGCATCTCCAATGGGGGGTTCGGGCCAGCCCCCCCCCCCCGCCCTCCATGTACTCCAAGTGAAAGCAGTTGCCATATGCCTGGCTCATGAGTTGCTCCTTTTCAGATACCCCCTGAGCACAGCGCCCCTGAAGCTGGCCCCTGCTGGCTTCGCAGGAGCCTTGGACTGCATGATAACCACCAGGAGCTACTGGGGTGACCTGTGGGAAGGGATGGGGTTTCCAGTAAACCAGAGAGAAACCAGCTGCTTATGGGGTGACAGTACAATGCCAGAGAGGAGAGGATCCACCCTACTGGAGGGGAACCACATGTTCAGTTCTGTTGCTGGGGTCCCCTTCTCCAGAAAGAAGGCCAGGGCCCCATGTCCCAGGAAGCTGGTGGTATGCATCCCTCCCAGCTAGCAGAGACAGGGTCAGGCCTCAGAGAGGCCCCCTGGGTTATGAATGAGATCCAGACTTAAAGAGCAGAGAGCCTGGACCAAGTGCCTCTATTGGCTGGCACTCTGCCCTCAGCTTCTCTACCTGATAGCTACACATGAAAACACCTTCTCCAGATGGGTGGGAGGGCTTTGGAAACTTTTCAATGGGAAGTATTATTCCTGGAGTCTCCCGTCTACGTGGAAGCCATCTGTTTCCTGCCTCGATGGGGGAAGCATGGTTGTTTCTTCTTCAGAGGATACCCTCTTCCTCTGTGGCCAGCCTAGGCCATCCTTCTAGGCTGGGAAGGCAGGTCAGCCCTCCCCAGGCCACTTCAAGTAGTGCTTGGGGCCTTGAGGAGTTTCCTCCCCCGACACCCAGCTGCCCATGGTATTTCACATATTTAACAGGATGTTCACCCCGGTAAAATGCGGGTGTCTAGTGGCACAGAGGAGCTTCCACTTGATCTTAGCCAAAAGGCAAAGAAGCGATAGCACAGTGGAGTTTCTTACAGCCCTGTACCCTCCCCACTGCCTCGGCTCTCGAATCCCACGAACTCTGCTCTGATTCTTCCTGGGAAGCGGCTGGTGGGAGAACCATAAAGATAATGAGCATCAAGTGCTGGGAGCTCTTTGCACAGAGCGTCCAGTTTGCAGGAACCCACGTGGTGCTCAGGCCATGGGCAGGCTCACATGGGGAAAGGCTGTAATGAAAGTGCTTAGAGGAAGTGCTCAGCTTCCAGTGAGATCAGCAGCTTTTAGTGCCTTGTTTTCCTGAGGTGGGGCCCTGATGTTCACTCTTCTTCCCTCTCGTGGGAGAGCAGTGGTTTTCACAGCTTACACATCAGCATGGGTGGTGTAAATGGAACTCCACATTCTTGCCCATGAGTTGGCTGGTGCAACTCCTGCAAGGTAGGGTTACAGGAGGAGCTGAGATGAGAACGTGGGCAGCTCATGAAGTATGGTGTGTCCTTGCTCTAGATCTGTCTGCATTACTCAGGCCCAACCGAAGGTGGCTCTGAAGAAGAACAATGTGTGGCCAGGACTCCATGTTCTGTGTTTCTAGGGCAGGATGAGTACTCAAGCTGCCACATTCCTTGCCAGCACCCCTGAGGCTGGTGCTGAGACACGCAGAGGCAGGGTGGATAGGGAAGGGGTGCCTCACTTTCACCTCCTGCCTCCTCCTCCTCATTAGTAATGCTCCCCAAAGGGAAACCGAAGCATAGATCTGCTTAGAAAGCCAAGACTAGGACCCAAGTGTCCTGGGCTCTCACCTTCTGCTTCTCCCAGCCTTTCACTCTGCTGTTTGACATAAGCACCCTCCAGATGGGAAGAGCTGGGCTGGAGGTGGGTGAGTCATGCCCAGCCCTGCGCCTATAGGCCTTCATTCCTGCCAAGCCAGGGCCTCTGGTGTTCTTAGAGGATCAGAGGCAGAAAGACCAGGCCAGCTTCCAGCAGGAAACCAAACTGTCTCCTCACCGTTTCTTAGTGGCCTGGCCAAGGAAGGTCCTGGAGACAGAAGCCTTCTCCTCACTCTGGCCGAGTCTTCTCAGAGTTGTGCTCAGCCAGGTGCATGCTGGCCTCAGGCCATGGGGTCCCAGTAAAAGAGCAAGTGACCCTAGGGTCTTCGGAGAGATAGATGGGCGAGATGGAGCTATGGCCAGTCCTCTGGGATACGGCTGTCTGTTGGGTTTTGGGTATTGAGGCCTCATTGCCTTGGGGTGTCTGAGTGGCAGTGATTTGGGCATAGGCCAGAAACGCTACAGAGGGCAATGGAACACATACCCAGGGCCCTGTGGGGAAATCAATCCTGCTTTGATGGGGACATGGGAGCACAGAGGACCTGTCACACATGGACGCACTCTCTGGGGGAGCACTCTGGAGCTACCTTTCCACCTGTTTCATTACCTGCTTACTTCACTTCCGCAAGTCCTCCGTTTGCAACATGGTGAATCCCCACCGCGCAGAGCCACTGGGAGGATGGATGGGAGGAAGCAGAAAAGTGCCCAGCATAGTGCCTGGTGACCAGGAGTCCCCTTCTTTTCCATTTGCTCGTCCCTCTATCTGCTGAGTGGCTGGCTGTCCAGGAACCTCTGGGATGGCGACCATGATTTTTTTGTTTTGTTTCTTTTTTTAAATAGTCTTGTTCTGTTGCCCACACTGGAGGGCAGTGGCACTATCTTGGCTCACTGCAACCTCCACCTCCCAGGTTCAAGCGATTCTCCTACCTCAGCCTTCCGAGTACCTGGGATTACAGGTGTGCTCCAACACATCTGGCTAATTTCTTTGTATTTTTGGTAGAGACAAGGTTTTGCCATGTTGACCAGGCTGGTGTCAAACTCCTGACTTCAAATGATCTGCCCGCCCCAGCCTCCCAAAGTGCTGGGATTACAGGAGTGAGCCACCACGCCCAGCCAGACCATGCTTTTTGGTGACACCAAACGATGTCGAACAATGGCTGACCCACAGTGTCAGCTGCTCCAGGCCCTATTACAACTGAACTGTCCCCATCAAAAAGGCTTCAGGCCATGCATGGTGGCTCATGCCTATAATCCCAGCACTTTGGGAGGCCAAGGAGGGAGGATAGCTTGTACCCAGGAGTTCAAGACCAGCCTGGGCAACACAGGAAGACCCTGTCTGTACAAAAAAGTAAAAAAATTAGCTAGGCCTGTGGTTTCAGCTACTCAGGAGGCTGAGGTGCAAGGATCACTTGAGGCCAGGAGGTTGAAGCTGCAGTAAGCTGTGACTGCACCACTGCACTCCAGCCCAGAAGACAGAGGGAGACCCTGTCTCAAAAAAACAAAGCAAAACAAACAAAAAGGCTTCACATCCCTGAGGACCTGGCAGAGGGGGAGTCTTCTCAGAACCAGAGGGGTGTGTGTGTGTGTGTGTGTGTGT